CAGGAACCTTTGTGGGAAAAGTACTTGGTGTGAACGCGCCTATTGTACCCGCTAACCCCTTTAAATCTGCTCTTCCCTCTCCGTCAGCTGTCATTTCAGGCGGCAACGCGCAAGCAGCAGCAGGGCTTCTTCCCAGCTCCAGGCATATATTCATCAGCTCCGCAGTCTTGCGGATTAAGCTACAGGCGGCGTTACCCAGTCGGCTAGCGGTTCCAGCCGGCCACCCCGCAAACCCAGACGCGGGAGGAAAGGACAAGGAAATCGGGCTCCACAGAAGTCCCTCCGGCTAATGGAAATGGCCTACTTCACACAAACAATTGACGCACGCCTTCAGTCTCTCGAGAGGGCATCACTGGCATCAGGGCCGCTCAAATGCGACGCTTCCGGCCTTCACGCGGAACGGGCCCTCATCACATGCAAAGCTTTTACCCATTCTGGCTTCAACCACAACCCCTCCTGCAGGCAGGCAGGGCTTAAGCTACATCCCATTGAAGCTACTTCTCCTCCGACTCAGTAGTCAGTATACTGGACACTAAGTGCGTCATAGGCGGCTAGCAGGTTCATTGCACAGCCCAAGCTCTCGCCTCTTTTCCCTGCGCCTCACCTCTAAAACAGGCGTCAGGGTAGCGCTGGCAAGAGGCAGTTTGCAACAAATACACGAGATGTTCGTTATGCATTGCTACCTTTAGTTCAGGGTTAAGGTGAGTTCCAGGCAGTGTTGAGTGTAACGTGTTACAGTATGAAGTTTCAGTAACGTATTACTTTGCCGTATGAAGTAATGTAACGCATTACTAATGCAGTTCGGGTAATTACTACCCGTTACAATGCTCAGTAAGTAACGCAGTTTCAAGCTTCAACACAGTTTTACCTGTAATGAATGGCGTTTCGTAGGGCTTCTTTTCCTCAATGACCAAGTCGCTGCACATTATCCCGTTCATGACACGACCAGATACTAAATAAATTAGGAATTGACTCCCAATATTAATTGAATGATTTATTGACTTAAATACAACATTACTAACCTATAACTCCGCTCAACTGGGAAAAGAGAAGAAGAAAGAAGAGAGAAGAAGAAAGAAGAAGAGACTCCTCCAGGAGCACAGCGTTCCTAATCACGAGGAACTATAAGCCCAGTCACACACCCGGAGTTCCTAGGCATCACATCAAGCTCATGGTATTAACGTTCCTCTAACCAAACTGTGTGCATCCACATAAACGTCAAGGCCTATACAGCTAACATTTCCAACGACAGTTGCTCTTCCTCACCGGGCAACCGTACTTCGCATGCGGATAATCTTCGGCATGCCATCATCTCCCGTTTCCTGGACGTGGCATCCGCCAGCCTTACGACGACCACGTTTTCCCCCGACTCTTAATGACGTGCACTGCACGTCCTTCGTTTTGGGGGGAATATCTGCATGAGATCATCCGCCATAGCGGCACGCTCAGATTTCCACTATTGCTTACACATTTATTATCACACTCGTTGGATCTAACACTAGCGTCCCTCCATCATTCTCATTTCAGATGATAGAAGACAGTCTTAATCACTCAATCAGCTCATCAGCATCTATGACTCACCCTGGCGTACTAACGGCTAATTAAGCTAGACTATATCATGGGTCATGTTTCAGTATTTAACTAAGTGTATGTCTTCTTCTGCGTGCATCCTGCACTTCATTCATATTCTCGGGTTCATGCTCACATGGCTCGTGTTAAGCCATGTTATGATATTCATGCTTCACTGTACTCAAGCTCTCATGCATTATATTGTCTACATTTCCCTCTTCGCCCGGACATCGGCTCGTGCTGCCAATCCAAGATCTCTTCAGTTTATCTATGGTAAATATGCATATAACTGGTGGTGGCGTCTTAATAGCATATCAGGGCTTTCGTTCAGATAGGTGCAGCCACCTCTGCTGCCAATCAAGGCATTTCTCCCTCATCCCTGCAACTCGGACGGTGGTCCTCCTCCGCCTTCATATCCCACATTCGCCCGGACATCAGTGCGTGCTGGCATCCAAGGTCTCTCAAACACTAAACTTGGTATTTATGCTATAACTGGTGGTGGTCTTATAGCACGTCAGCATGTATACGTGTCACCGTGTTCATGTTTAACCCTGCATGCCAGGTTGTGATCTCCGGGTCTGTGTCATGTTTAACCCTACACGTCAGGTTGTGACCTCCGGGTCTGCGTCATGTTTAACCCTGCGAGTGCAGGTTGCGGCCAGTGGGTCGCGTTAGGTTTAACCCTGCGAGTGCAGGTTGCGGCCTCTCTCATTTCATCCATAGATCTCCGCAGCCAGCCCGTAAGGTAAGAAATGCATCACATCTCAGTACTTCATACTTCACTTCTTTTGGGGGTTCATCGGAGCGGTTTATTCCCCTCCTGAATGATCATCCTGCAAACCGGGCCCTAATCGCCAAACACCATTTCATTCACTTGTTATAATCTGTCAATCACTATTCCTTCATATCATGTGTCCCGGTAATAAACATGTATTTCATACATCACGTCTCTCCTGATTGAAATGAAGCTCAGCCCAAGTTCAGTCAGGAAGACCAATATCCTCTGTCTGTTACACGTCATCTCAATACTCTCTCCTCTCTCAATAAGTGATCGGGGGCGTTACTCCCCAGCTAGCCAATCACTTCCCCCTATTCTCACAAGCCTATCATTGCACCCGCTAACCCATTTAAATCTGCTCTTCCCTCTCCGTCAGCTGTCATTTCAGGCGGCAACGCGCGACCCTCCTACACCCCTTCGCCTCCTGTCTCCTAATACAGGGCCAAGCTAAACACCTTCTCCCTCCAGACCGGACCGAACTACCTATCACCACCACCAGTGTCTAGACCCCGGGGGGTTCATCGGAGCAGTTTTTTCCCCTCCTGAATGATCATCCTGCAAACCGGGGCCTAATGGCCAAACACCATTTAATTCACTTGTTATAATCTGTCAATCACTATCCATTCATATCATGTGTCCCGGTAATAAACATGTATTTCATACATCACGTCTCTCCTGATTGAAATGTATATGTAAAGACATTTGGTCAAATTAAATGACACTGAGACAGTGATAACAGCAACGCCAGCATGGATGAAGCTGGTGCAGGTCTTTCTTCATGCCCCCCCCCCTAGGATCTAATGCTGTCCCCTCAGAGGAAGTGGGGAAACGGGAGAAGACCTCTGGACGCCACGATGTCTCAATGATCCACACTGTTAATGAGGAAAATAAATGTTTTAGGAAATGAAAAATATGAAGTTAACAAATAAAACACAGGGGCAGTCATGGGCGGTAGGTTTTCCTACAAAGTTAACTCAGCCTCCATTGATTTTCATATCAAATTAGCATGTTAATAAAATAAGCTATCATGGTTTATACTGATAACTTTGTTCGTTATTCTCGCGTCCAGGAGAGAAGCTTTAAAAAAGGAGACTAATGGAGTCTCTGAGAAGGTTCAAATGGTTACTTTAATTAAAATGGCGCGGTAATGTTACATCTCTCTGTGGTGTCGGCCGAGCAGAAGAGGTCCTACAAGCCCTCGTCACCTGACTATATATCTCATTTGGCTCTTCGTTTTCAATGGCGGCTGTGGTGACGTAGGGGAATTTCCCCCCTCGTTCTTCTGTGTCCGATATTGCGTTAAACAGAGAATTCGACATTTTACAATCATTGCTTACTTCCACATGCCTTTTCTCCTCCTTATCTCTTTCATAACTTTATATTTAATACATTTTAACGGCTGCAATCGTTACTGCTACTTACTTAGCTTGCATTGTTATGGATCTAAAGGTAGCAAAAGCTAACTTTCACAGCTTTACTTCTCACTTAACACAATAAAGAAACAGACCGTATAGTACGGCACAAACAACACAAATGATCAATACTTACATATATTTTTACTTGTAGTTATTATAATAATTGAAATGCTGGTTCTTCTGGGGGTCTTCTGTCCACGCTCAGCTACCGCACCGCAGCTGCCTGCACTGTACAATCGCTGGAGGACTGGGCTGTCACTCAAAAACTGAGTAGCCAATGGGGACGCACTCCTGAAAGTCCCGCCCACCTGGGAGGTTTTTGTCAGAATCTCAAACAAAAAGTGAAGGAGCGCAAAAGAGAGTGCTGCAGCAAGAGCAAAAGTCTGATCATTGAGAAAGAAGAAACAAGAACGGCAAACAAAAACCCATGTTAAAACAAAGAAAAAATACTTATAGTTTACATGAATTACACAAATGATTTGTTTGCAACTTATAGTTTTATTTTTTATTTTGCTTGACTCAGTTTTTTTTCTTTTAAACTCATAGTTTTGCTTTATTCTGAGAAAGTGTTGCTTTATCTTTATGATACAAAACTAATCCCATACTTTCCCACCATTTGTGTGGATGTTGAATAAAACATCAGTAACACACTTACAGTAATGCTTGCTTTAGCCAGTCAGCTCCCAGCACTGTAAACGTTTTGGCAAAGTCACTGAAACAGCAAACAGCTTTTTCCGTTCTTTGGATTTTGTTCCTGTAGAACAGTTGATTTATCATTACATAACTAGTGTACCATGATCATTAAGTAGAAACCATCACTTGAGATACATTACATTTTTGTTTAACAAATCTATTTTAAAGGAATGCTATAAATGTTGTATTTTTTCAAGACCATTTTTGTGCTATGAGATACATTGCACTTTTTGTAACTATTTATTTATTTTCAAATGTCCACTGCAGAGAGAATAGAGAGTAAATTAAAACATTAGACGGTAATAGATTGTAGTACTGTACCTTCTGCATTTTCTAAAATCAATGCAGGCCTGCACGGGGAAACACTCTTGTGTAAAAACACACACAAACTCAGACCTTGGCACTGAAGCAAACAGAAGCTGACTCATTAAAAAACTAAAGATCTGACATTAAAACTCTGCTGTACAAATTCAATTGAAAACGTTTTTGTGGTGGAAATTCCACACTTAATCACCTTCTGGTAAGAAAAGAACACATATACAAGCTTAAACCAAAGTTGTGTCATTTTAATAAAAAGTTATAGCATTTAATAGAATCAATCTTATTTCCAGCTGGAAAGGACAGATAACCCGTTCCACTGATGTGGAAAGGACATCTGACCCGGTTACACAGAAAAGCAATGTCATTTATACAGAGCAGAGAGCAACAGATGGGAAGGGGAACAGCCAATGAAATTCTACATTACAGGGGATTGAAGATTGGTGGCTAGACAGCAGTGGCGGTTCTAGACCAATTTTACTGGGGGGGCCAGGCTGGGGAAGTTATTTCATGAGAGGGGCACAATACAAGCGGGTTAAAAAGACAAAGACAGTATAAAGTAATTGTGTAAAATAAACATAAAATACAGTAATTAGTATTTGTTTTTGTAAAGGTATTTGTCTTGGTACATTTAAGTTACAATCCTTTGTTTCAGTCATTTTTTTCATTTAGAGTATATGTTTTAGTAACTTTAAGTGACAATTTAATAAAAAAACATAAACAGTATTTGCTTTTATATAAGGTAATGAACAGTTTAATCTCCACTACATCCGGGTCTCTGATTTTATTTAGTTCCAATAAATCGTAATATTGTAACCTTTTTTTGGAGGGGGGCCACAGGGGGGTTCCTGATCAGTGTTACAGGGGCACTGGCCCCTGTTGTATTTTTTTAGAAAGTCTATTATTTGCTTGAGGTTTCTCTGGCGCAAGGCACAAGACCTGGCCAGCCATGAAACACAAGAACTAGAGTTTTATGGAAAACATTTTTCATACCGTGAGACAACGGAACAAAGGATGAAGTTGTTTTTTATACATTTTTTGGTGTGTCTCATTGACAGAATATGCATCACAGTTCTTCATAAAAAGTAAATCAATGCGCTTACACTTGATTGTACTTTTTTTCTGTTCACCAAACAACGTCATGGCAAGGGAAATATTGATAATTGCATAAATGAGTTATAAAGAAAATGACACACATCGTTTATTGGGTTGGGGCATGTTCCCATCACTTACTTGATTCACCAATGCATTGATGATTGAGCTGCTAAAGGTCAGACAGAGACAAAACATGTTCAAAAACGTTATGGACTAATCCATGCTTCCAACTAAAAATAAATATGTATTAGATACAGCCAAACAAATGAATACACATGTTAAAACTGGGTTACATTAAAGTTTGTTATCAAAACTAAAATACAGTATTTTATTCACCTATGCCATACTATACACTACACACAAGGACACCTGTATCAAGATCATGGTAATCACTTTAAGAACTTGATCTGATTTGTTTGTTTTGCGTGGCGTTAAATCAGATTTCCTCACAGTCAAACTTTGTAGCAATGCTGCCCTCTTCTGGAAAGCTGAAGCAGTGCTTCAAACCCCTTGAGTTGGAGCATTGGGTCCTGCTGGTGTTCAGTGAAAGCAAGTTAATCGTTGAATGATTTACATTTATGATTAAAGTTTAAACTGTGACACTGCAGGCATTACTGTTTTAGTTGAGGACATAAACTACACACTCCTTAGTTGAATAGGAAAGTAAAATGCACTTTTTCTCAGTGTTGTACACTCTCACTCAATTGATGTACATTGAGAAAGTAAGGCTTCACCATACATACATTGAGCTTATGATGGAACTCAAACAATTGTTCCAAATTGTCCTTGATGTAAGGGTCCCTTGTAGATGCTTTTTGGGGTAAGGGCTTCCTGGATAGTCATTTGACAGCAAGCCCAGACCGCAAAAAGACCTGAAAAGAACAAAACTGCTTATTGATGGCGGACGATCATACACAGCTGATCCAGTATCTGAAACACAAAGTCGCAGATCTATTAGACGGAACGTAAATTGAGAACAAAATTAGTCTTGTACTGTAACAACAATCTCCATTTGCATTGTTTGTTTTCAACATCTTCTATTGGATTTCTCAGATAGAATATCAATTTGACACAAACGTCAAGCTTTAAAAAAAAAAAAATTCACATTTGAATATCACTCTTTTGTTATTATCAACTGTATTGGCTATTTCAGTTTGTATGGGTGAGCACTGACTGAAACAAACACATTACACTTATTCAACTAAAATGAAATAAAATATTGTACATGGTGCAGATATGTTCAGTATAACCCATTCCAGTAGGCCTCACTCTCATGGACTTCAGTGTGTATACCATGTGTTATACGTTGTCCATAAGACCAACAAAATAAGTGTAAAACATATCATATGTTAGCATCCAGAACCTTTTATGTGAATATGTTCTAGCACATTTCATGTTGATTACATGAATAATCCTTTTCTTAAAGTAGGAGGTTAATGTTAGCAGCTCCACACCAGCGTGTACAACCTAAATGTATCTCTGATTTTAGCTTATTTTAGAGTTTAAGGAGGGAATATGGATCATGTATGATTATAGTCTGAAGTTAACAAAGCATACAATCTGTCATTGATCATAAATGCTTGAACAATAAAACAGCAAAAAACTGAATGGGATAGGTGGCTAATAGGAGGCAATTGCAACACACCAAACGTAATCCACATGCACAAATGTACCATCATTAAGCCTATTAATTATTAGACAAACAAGGAATCCCTTTTATAGAAATGATTACATTGAAAAAACTAGATCTTGAAAATGTGCTAAATTCTGGTTTCTACGCATTCCTCTTTGTGATTTACCTTTACACCTTACACCTTCAGAAAGCCAGTTACTGACAATGGGTGTAATGGTTAATGTAACAATATAAAGTAAAATAAACGTTTGAGATTTATATTTTTTGCTTCTCCATCAACAAGGAGAACTCCATGACACTGAGCATGTGAATAACACAAAATGTCCAAGAGCATGCACTTAGTACGTTTCTTACAGAATACAAGAATGACGTACTGTTTGTGAAATAGAAAAGGTAAAAAAAGTCAAAAGATTAGCATGATGCAATTATAGGTCAGAACAAAGCGAGAGAGGGAAAATATGGGTTTCAGAAGATCAGATGTCAATTGTGTATCCAAAAGTTATTGTTAAGGTAAGATTGTGCATGAAGACAAATACTCAGATATTATTTATCCAACCGAATACAACACTGATGTTTTAATGGTGGACAGCTGACGTCAAACCAATAGCCACACAGTCAAATCTTGATATCATGTGTTGGGCCTTTCATTGATTAAAAGGTAAAATATCAGTATCAGTGCTGTACTTTTCACTACGTAACTATGAAAGGAAGAGTTATCTGAAATGTTTTATGAAGTGCTACAGCCAAATAAAGCTGCAGCCCGTGCAGACAAAAGGACAGAGAAGAGTGGACCACACTGGATGATCTTCATGTGAGCTGTCCATGGTTCTGAAAGCCTCATACCAGCCCTGCCGGTAAAACGCCCTAAACCCCCCCCCCCACTTCCTCTCACGACACTGTGCATGTGAGTGTGTGTATGTGTGTGTTCAAAACTCTGTCTGTCTGTTTTTCTGTCTGTCAGATTGTGTCCAACAAAGTGTGTGTGTGTGTGTGTGTGTGTGTGTGTGTGTGTGTGTGTGTGTGTGTGTGTGTGTGTCTAAGCAGGATTTTCTTGCTGCATGCATCACTCCTGGGGTTTTTCTTGTAGCGAGGGGTTGCACTGTAAATTCATCCTGCCTTTACCCACGTAGGCTGGCCAGCAGACTTACAGTGAAAAATAACCGCTATGTGGATGTGCTCGCTATCAGTGTGCAATAAACACACAGAAATGACACCACTATCACCTGACAAACATTTTGAACTTTCACTCTAAAGAGAAGATCCACAGGCGAATTCAAAGTTTTGGAAAATACGAAATCTCCGCGCATCACCCACGTTTGGCTGTGCGCGTCGGCAGGTCGCCGAGCCACCATGACGCGCACAATCTGGAGCCACAATAACTGATATGCCATTTACTACAATACACATCCTGGTCAGAGTTGTAAAGACAAAGGCTGGCACAAGAAACAGCATCAAGTTAAATGCAAGAATAAACTGCCAATAGATGTATTAATTAATGATATGTTGGATGAGGGTGCTCGTTACCTCTGCGCGTCTAGATGCGAGCGCTTGGAATAGGTCGGGATTGTGTAAAGCCCTTGGGAGAAAGAAAGGATCAGATTCAAATAAAATGCAAATAAAACAGAGTATAATCACATGAAGCTTTTTTTGAGAGATATAGACAGCACATATCGTTAAGCAGGGAACACAACACACCACACATAGATCATACGAAGAACAAACAGCTGGAGCTGTGTACGCTATATAAATCAAATCACTACAACGAAGATTTTTCATCGAAAAACGTTATTCCAAAAAGCTAGTCACTCGCAGGAATCATCCTACATATGCGCTTTGGGTGAGGAGGGGAAAAAAGCATCCTTATATACACAAACCTCCCTTACTATCGCTGCTGCTCGAAGGGTTGGGACGACGTGATGCCACTGTGATCCTTTCACTTCTGCATTTGGATTCACCTCTATTTTCGTTGAATTTGGAGGAAATACACTTCCATTTTGTACTCGTTTCCATCCTTTCTGTAGGAAATATTACAAAAAGCCCCAAATGGAAGCCACTCAATTCCTCCAGTCTGCGATTGACCCGCATTGACGTCATTGCGTCATTAGGTCTTCCCCTGGAAACACGGGGCTCCCAAAAATAGCAACACAATTAATTCAGCCTGCGCTGGGGTTGGCTTGGCGGGGGTGACTATTTGTATCAATCCATAACCCCTCCTCTGATTCTAAGCAATAATACAGTGCTCTCTCTCACACCCCCCCTCTCTCTCCCCAAGGACGAGCTGATCACGACTCACGCTATTTTTGGAAAGAGAGGAGAGAGGAGAGAGAGAGAGAGAGAGAGAGAGAGAGAGAGAGCGAGAGAGAGAGAAGAGAGAGAGAGGCGAGAGAGGCGAGGAGAGATCTAGAGTATAGAAAGAGGGAGATCAGAGAGAGGAGAGAGAGATAACGGTGGGTTGTGATGAGAGACGCCCGCACCATTCTTGCTCTCCTCTCTGCTGGCTGGCTGAGAAAACATAAACAGCACCACGGGGATAAAAATAGCAAAAGAGCGGTCATCCAGTGGGAGGAGAGGCAAGACCCGAAACCTAGTTAACTGCCATCAAATGAAGAAAGGCCATCAGCCACAGTGGGCAGCCTGTCACTCTGATGTGGCCTGTGTATCCGTTCATTCAGTTTGCAAAACCACACAGGCTTGGTCTTCATTCATTCAACCATTCATTCATTCAGTCATTCATTCATTCATTGTAATCGAGAATTATTATTTCACTCGGTTGATTAATATAATGTGCAAGGCCAAGCTAGCCAATAGCACTGTCACACTGAGTTGAAATCTTCCAGCTGTCCACTAATGGCATCATCTTGTTTGCCCCTTAAAGCCTCATTCACTTATAAAGCACATATGACTCAAAACAGGAGAGATGCTACAACCTGATATTGTGCATGTTTCACATTGATTTCAGGCTCATGGGCTCTAGCATTGTTTACTGTATTTTTTGTGTCTTATGGCACCTCCAATTTACATACAATCTAAACCATTCTCTATTAACTAAATAAGTAAACACATCAAAATCATAATTCCATCAACTTTTCTCGCAGCTTTTCATGTTCATATTGTACGCTGGGTGAAAATCTTTTTTTTTTTTAAGGCTGTTGCTTTATTAATAATGGCCATCTCTAATATAACAGCTATTACACTATATTGATAGTGGTTGCTGAGGTCCCAATCGTTAATCTTTAACTGCTGATGCCATCTACTGGTTATTTAAGAGATCTGCATATAATAGAACAACACACTCTCACTCCATAATCGTCCAGGAGCGACGCTTGATCAGGGTCCCGTGGCGTGCAGTTGTGACGCTCCTAGGCTCCTTCAGCTTCATAAAGGGACGCAAATCTTTCAACTGATTGCAATGTATTCCCATCTGCGGCGGGATTTGACGCTCATGGAAGCACGGCATTCGTTTGTGTCGGCTGCCCTTAAAGGCAATGTGAGCGTCCATTCCCATTGGATAACGGAGAATTGTACACCCGGAAGTAAGTATTCGCCTTACTGTCGATTGATTTTACAGTGATATCTGCACTACTCATTGACTAAAAAACACCAGATTATCCTTGTTAATTACACAACATTGATTGGTTTAAATTGTGTGCAATGCCTTTGTATTTTTCCCCTTCGATTCGGAGAAACAAATATTTTTTCGGAGTAAAGGATGGCAGAAGACACTACACTACCCAGAATCCCCAGCTATCGTTTAGGACTACACCATGTGCTCTGTTTGACAAGCCCCGTGATTAATTTTCAAGCTCTGTGATTGGTTGACCTCCAACTGCAATTCCAATCATTCCGTCTATGTCACGTGATCTTCAAATTTCTCCCTGCAGAAAAAAAAAAACATGGCCGAACTTCGTTTTATTCTCGGTGGAAAATGCCTATTTTAAAGTTAGTTTGGTCATTAAAATGCGTTTTGATGTCATTTGATGCGAGAAATATGAGTTGTTATTTCAGATTACAGTGGATGTACATGATCTTTAGTTTGATAGTTATTACGAAGATTACTTCACCGTTTGTGTATATGATTGAAAGGGATGTGCAAAATAGTTATTATATACCGTCTTTAATTGACTATTAGTTGAGAATAACGAGTAATGAATATACTTTTATAGGGATATTAATATCTAATAATAAAATAATGAAATTCAATAACATGCTTTAACCACTAGGGGTCCCTTTATATCAGCTGTGCACCTTTATGGTGTAAATACAGCCTATCTACCAATTGGATCAAATATAAAAGTCAGCCGAATTAGTGTTGATACTGCAAGGAGACGTATTGTGTGAAAAGACATCTAAGATGTTGTTTAATTGCTTATATATTTATGATCCACGTCACGTATTCAGTTTTGGCGGCAGTTCCTCATGTTTGTCTTCTCATCAAGGCTCTATACATAGAGAACTATGACGATGTGAGATGTGAGATTGGAATTGCAGAGGGGAAAATAACGTATCTTTGCCACAATTTTAGATGCGGATTTTGTTAAACTAATAATGGGCGCTGTGGACCAACACTATACATTGACGGGGAAGGGGGTAGCAATAAAGATAACACCATTAAACAGTTACACAACATAACATAAATAATATCGATAGCAGCGTCCCTAGCAACCACCTTGGTAACAATGAAAACGTTGTATGGACACAATTTCCTGAAGTAATCTTCGTAATAACTAGCAAACTAAAGATCATGTACATCCACTGCACACATAATCTAAAATAACAACTCATATTTCTCGCATCAAATGACATCAAAATGCATTTTAATGGCCAAACTAACTTTAAAATAGGCATTTTCCACCGATAATAAAACGAAGTTCGGCCATGTTTTTTTTTTCTGCAGGGAGAAATTTGAAGATCACGTGACATAGACGCCAGCCATTGGAATGAATGGAATTGCAGTTGGAGGTCAACCGATCACAGAGCTTGAGAACTAAGGGGCTTGTCAAACAGAGCACATGGTGTAGTCCTAAACGATAGCTGGGGATTCTGGGTAGTGTAGAGCCATCCTTTACTCCTAACAAATATTTGTTTCTCCGAATCGAAGGGGAAAAATACAAAAGCATTGCACACAATTTAAACCAATCAATGTTGTGTAATTAACAAGGATAATCTGGTGTTTTTTAGTCGATGAGTAGTGCAGATATCACTGTAAAATTAATTGACAGTAAGGGGAATACTTACTTCCGGGTGTACAATTCTCCGTTATCCAATGGGAATGGACGCTCACATTGCCTTTAAGGGCAGCTGACACAAACGAATGGTGCTTCCATGAGCGTCAAATCCCGCCGCAGATGGGAATACATTGAAATCAGTTGAAAGCTATTTGTGTCCCTTTATGAAGCTGAAGGAGCCTAGGAGCGTCACAACTGCACGCCACGGGACCCTGACCAAGCGTCGCTCCTGGACGATTATGGAGTGAGAGTGTGTTGAATAGAACACCTGCATCATCTGTGAAACTGCACAGGGAGTTGAAGCATATATCACTCCCTCACCTGATGGTGCAGTTTGGCTGGAGCAGTGTTTGGTATAAGTGCAATTGGAAATGGTTGGGTGGAGCCATGATCTTATTTATTATTCTCTCTTGTCCCATTGAACATTGGGAATAGATTAATGGATCATCTGACCTTTTATTTTAATTTACATACATTAAACTCTGCTGTAGACAGATGACTGTTGTATTATTTCTGACAAGCAAAGATCTGCACTGAGTGAGATCAGGGAACCAGTTTGAGGATAAGTGACACCCAAAAAGCTGCAATGGGCTCCATAAACAGCAGGTGGCAGGAGGGAACACTATCTGGAGACAAACCTGTTGCAGCATATCCATATCGCTCATGTAAGCATTTTTTCTGATGAGCTGCCAAAGCACGAGTCTCTGCAAGTTGCAAATAACTATGTTTGTAAATATGCATGCTCACTATAGCATTCAATCAATCAATCAATCAATGTTTATTTATATAGCCCAATATCACAAATGTTACATTTGTCTCAGTGGACTTTACAGTTTGTACAACATATCAGTATGACAATACGACACCCTCTGTCCTTAGACCCTCACATCGTACAAGGAAAAACTTCCGAAGAAAACCCACAGTTTAAAGGGAAAAATGGGAGAAACCTCAGGGAGAGCAACAGAGGAGGGATCCCTCTCCCAGGACGGACAGACGTGCAATAGATGCCGTGTGTAAATTGAAAAGATAATACATTTGCAACATAGGTAGTCCAAATGTTTGGAAATGCATGTGTGTATAATAGGAAGATGAATCCACGAGGATATCCATCCAGGACCTATGATCCAGGACCACAGCCACGACTCAAGATCCAGGACAGAGAAGCGCAGGATCATCCATGACTCCGGATCCCGGCGTATACAGACACCAAAAAGAAAGACATTTGGGGAAGCTGGGTTAATCGGAACATGAGAGTACACAGGTATAGACAGAGAGAAGGAAGAAGTAAGATGTCCCCCGACAAACTAAGCCTATATCAGCAAAACTAGGGGCTGAATCTAATCAGCCCTAACTATAAGCTTTATCAAAAAGGAAGGTCTTAAGCGCACTCTTAAAAACGGATAGGGTGTCTGCCGCCCGAACACAAACTGGAAGCTGATTCCACAAATGTGGAGCTTGATAAGAAAAGGCTCTGGCTCCCATTGTACTTTTAGAGACTCTAGGAACAACCAACAACCCTGCATTCTTGGAACGCAATGCCCTAGTAGGACAGTAGGGTATAATGAGTTCTTTAAGGTAAGATGGCGCCTGCCCATTAAGGGCTTTGTAGGCGAGAAGAAGAATTTTAAATTCTATCCTGTGTTCTATAGGGAGCCAGTGTAAGGCAGCCAGAACAGGAGTAATGTGGTCCCTTTTCCTAACTCTGGTTAGTACACGAGCTGCAGCATTTTGAATCAGCTGAAGCGACTTGACTGACTTCTTGGTACACCCTGATAATAAAGAGTTACAATAATCCAGCCTTGAAGTAACAAATGCATGGACTAGTTTCTCTGCATCGTTTTGAGGCAAGATATGCCTGATTTTTGCAATGTTACGTAGATGGAAGTAGGCGGTCCTTGAAATTGATTTTATGTGGGCGTTAAAGGATAAATCCTGATCAAATATAACACCAAGATTCCTTACAGTCTCACTGGAGGCCAAATTAATGCCATCCATGGTTAATATATCCTTAGATAATTT